CAGAGTTATCGAGTTTCCCTCATGGGGTATGGACTGTGGGAGACCTAAATGTCCCTGTACTGTTCACAGATTAGGTCCAAAGCTGCTTCATCAACAGATCGATACGATATGTGTTAAACCCGAGCCTTGTGGCACTTTGTTTTGAAAACAATGTTATCCATTTACAGGGCAGATATATCGCTAAATCACAAACAAGTGGGACACAGATGACTAAATCCGCTCAAAGCAGTTCATACTAAAGAAGCAAAGGCTGGTTGATAAGAATTGTACATCCTCAACATTCAGGGTTTTATTGTGACACATCACAATAAATCAACGGTGTTGCACACAAACCATTTGCTGTGCATGTGTATTAAGCAGAGAAGGGAAACCCTGATTGATGTTTTTAATGGTATATTTTACAGTCGGAATAGGATTTTATTTACAAAACCAACATCAAACAAAGGAACTTGAAGCTCATTTATTAGCAACTGGCAACAATGATGTCTATAATGGCTATAACTATGTTTTCTCTATAAATCCATCTGCTTAAAAAACGAGTAAAGAGATGATAAATAAAGACCAACCCATACTAGGATTACATATAAATTAAGAACTTAAAAAGAAATATTTGTTTATGTTGGCTGATTATACTGTAAGACAGCTGATTCAAATATCCGACATAAGATATTTATTGCAGGTTATTAGTAAGCCAAAGGCTGCCTGTCTCATAGTGTGACATAACACAGCAGCTTTGGAGCCACAGCCCAAGATTTTTACTTGATATTCTTACAAACATCACCTTTTGTCTGCGATGGCCAAAACTCTCACAGAGTATTATGTTTCTACATTATTGGTACCAATAAAAAGGCTAAACCACACACAAAAAGACTCATTAAAGCAATTTCATTTTTCTGAGAAACAATCATGCACTTTAGTGGTTTGATTTGGAACCAGATTTACTGTGTTAGTAATTTTACAAATAGAGGCATAATAGTAAAAAAAAAAAAAATTACTAAATCATAGCGACTCAGATGAAAGACGTGCAAATTTCAAGCACATTTCTTTGCCTGGTCAATCTCCATTAGTGAAGAACAGAATTCTTATTACTAGTTAACAATTTTAAGAAGTTTAAAATATACAAAGAGCATAAGCTAAATTACTATGCCGAGGATTAATCATGTTTAAAACTCATGTCTGAGTATTTTTAGATGAATTATTTTTATGTAAAAAAAAAAAAAAAAAAAACCTGACCTCACCCTGAGACAAAACAACCTGTGTTAAGCGTGTGGGTCGCAGTTAACCCTTTAAAGCCTGATCCAAGAATAAAACAAAACAGAAAATTACTTTTTTTGGTTTGAATTCCTTATTTGCCCTTTTAACAAAATATGTAAAAAGAAAAAACAGAAACACATTTTTGATATTAATAATTTATTACTATGCGATAAGTCAAGATTATTTTTTGTTTAGTCTTCTACTGGCTGTTATCAGGTATATCTGATTGTGTACAATAGGATTTTGAGCAAAGTTTTTACCATTAAATATGCAAAAGGTTTCAGAAACCGTATGTATCAAATACGATACATTTAGCATTATAGGGTTAATGCAGACCGGCCCCCACCTCCCACAGACACTCTGCTGCACCTCTCCTAAACTATAGGTGACCACAGACAGTGCCGCAGATGGCGCAGAGAGAAGAGAAAGGAGGCCTCTGATTGCTCAGTTCTACATCCGTTCTAAACCAAGCGTATTTCCTGTTTGGTACTAGAGACTGACATTTTTTCGGGAATCCCATGGGTCACGGGATTCCCGTGGGATTCCCGTGGGATGGGAGTCAGTATTAGTAACGATCACGGGATTGGGACGGTACAGGATTAAACATTAACGGGAGCAGACAGGAGCGGGAGCAAACCAATAGTAACTTCCGCTCTGAGTTTTTCACCCGCGCTGAAAAACAACAAGAATGGGAGTGGTGCAGGAGCGGGAGTCATTCTGAATGGGAGCGGGATGGGAGTGGGAGTAATTTCACCAGGAGTGGGACGGGACAGGATTTAGATTTCTACTCTGGCCGGGGATCGGGACGGGACACCATTTTTTTCTGTGGGAGTGGGACAGGACAGGAGTGAAAATCCACTCCTGTGTCAGTCTCTATTTGGTACCAAATGGCAGAAACTCTGGCTGTAGTGCTGTCCACAATTCCTTGCACACCTCGGACACCATCCCAGACAACGTACAGGATGCTAGTTTGTAGCTCTGTGTGACGGTTTGTTGGTTTGCCCTCAAAGCCATAACACGCAGTGCCACGGCCGGTCGTTTGGGAACACTCACGGGTGAACTGTGTCGTCTGACGTTGTAGACGGCAAACAAGCTCGTCAAACCTACACATGCACACCCATAATCGTCTCTCTTGCGTTTTGGCGTGGAATAACATAACGCAGACTTCAAAATTGGGCATAAATCCAAAATATCTGCGTCAAGCTCACTGCGGCACACTGCTGCGGGAGGATAACCAGCCCTTTAAAGTGGAGACTGTGATTCAGGTCTTCTCCTCCAACATTAGTGTCTGAATAAAAAAAAGTGTTTCTGTGAGATTGGTCAAACTCCCACGGACACATTCTTAAATAATTAAAAACTTTCCCAAAAAGTTTAAACAGTAACCCTTTGGTTAAAGACCGAAGATCCTTTAGTTCAAAGATCATCATTGTGAATGGATCTAAGATAATACTTTGGGCAGTATAGTAAAGGTTTATAAAATGTATCAGGGTTTTATCTTACAACTAAAATTCTGAATCACATCTAAATAAAAAAACAACAAAAAATAATAAAATGGAGGAGAGATTAGATGCTCAACCTGTGGACGGATGCCTTAATCTTTAACACCCTGAAATAAAGGCCAGTGGCGCCTAAAAAAACCCAAAACAAAACATGACAGTACGGGAAAAAACTGTAAATCTGCAATAATCTAAGGTTTTCCTTGCTCTATAACTGACTTTAGGTTTCCATTGAAAGATGCAAATTCTCTGTGATGAAGTGATGCTGTAAGTTGGAGAGAAGGAAATGGAAAAAAACAAACTAGGAGGATGAGAAACGACCAAGTGCGTGCTCGGAATTGAGGGTGGAAAAAAAAAAATATCAGCACTTTTCAAGCAAGGTTTTCCAACAATTCTTTACTATATTTCTTATTCAGAATACATTTATAACATATATGATATAGTGATATATTGATCATATCTGTGGCTCATTTTCAGGAATCATGACAAACATTAGCCTATATGTAAAGCAGTTGGATAAATATTAATTCATAAAAATCCTACAAATAAGATCCAATTTAAGACATCTGAATCCAATCCCAATTTGAAGTTAACAAAAAACGGTATCCGAAAACTCAAATATTAAAAGAATCCTAAAGCCTTTAGATTTATTTCAGTGCTATAATTTGATTCCTTCATTATTAAAAAATGAACGAACATATTAAGGCATAACGTGGTACTGCTCTATAAGGCTACTTCTGCCCACAGCTTCAGGTTTTCTGCACTCCAGTTTTCCTCTAAAGGCATTAAAGTCTCCTAATGAGATTAATTAAGCCAACCCAGAGTTTGTTTAATGAGGCCCTAATGAATACCAGAGGAGGATGACGGCAGAGAAACAGTTGTTTCTCATTCCAAACAAAGCTCTTAAGGTATAAACAAAACTTTAAGACGGCCAAACTAGTGAGCTGAGCAGCGATAATCCCTTTACCGTCTGGGCAGCCGAGCACTTATAACTAAACCAGCTCTGATGTTTGAATCGTGACGTGAACCACCCACTTAATCAGAGAAATCAGTCGAATAAATGTAGAAGATCCCCAAGAAGAACTTAATAGAGAAAGATGAAGGTCAAGAGGAAGGAAATTTCATCTAAAAGTTACAGATACAGACAGATGTTTGGAGAATGTACTAGAAGTTTTACAGACCGTCTGTTACATAAATGATCTACGATCGGCAACAGCTTACAAAACAATTCAGCAAACCACAATAAATCCAAGAAAGGAAAGTCAAGAGGCGGATGGATCGTTGCTTTTACTGAAAACAAATTGCAGCACTCTGGTTAATTTACTGTAAAAGGAACTTTCCGATATTAAAAGTATATTTACCATCTTTGTATGCCAGGAAAAAAAATCTCTAATGTCAAAATCCATCTTTGCTTTACATTATCCTGACCCAGTGACAACAACAAATACAAATTCAGTTTACTTTCAGGATCCACCAACTTTTCTTTAAAACTTAAAGGCATTTCAAATGGGCTGATGTCATGCAAACAAACATGGCTACCCGGTCACTGAATCAACTGACAGATGCTTTTCCAACTATTCATCCTTTGTTTCATGTCAAATCCAACTGGAGAGTTTGTAGAAGTCCTGTTTTTTTTTATTTTATTCATTTTTCAATCAACCTTGTATTCTTATTTATGATTGAACATAAACGGCTCCTGGGCATCTCTTAGTGGACTATGAGCATTTCATTTACACTTCTTACCTTCCTGCTCATTGTGCAAGGCGGTGAGATAAATATGGGCCTTGTTCTACCTGTGACCAAGTGAGGGACCTCTGTGTCGTGACATATTTCCATCACAGGAAAAGAGGAAGTAACCTATTCCAAATTATGGGTTTCCAAGAATTAGAGATCAAATTCAGCCCAATATTTTAATTAAAGGCACACTAGGGGCACTAGACCTGTATGTGCCCGTATTTCTCTTCTACTAAACATTGAAAAGTCCACATTGTGCCTTTAAATACATTTTGAGGGGAATGCTAAGTGTGCTGTTAACTGTGAAAGGGGTATTATTCCATGTTAGGAATCATTTCCTAAAATACGATTTTTTTCCAATGAATCAATTTACTGCTGATTTACACCTCATCTAGTTAATGCGTCAGAAAGGAAGTAAACAACCACACAAAAGCTCAATACATATGGAAAAGCAAAAAACCACATGAGCATAAGGGCCACCAACATTTTTAACGTAAAGCTTTTAATTCCTCTTACCTATTTGCCTCTCCAGGTCCGCTGCCTCGTCAGGGGTGGCCCTTGGCAGGACACCTGGGTCACTGAAGCTAGTTCTCAGCAGTGTCCCCAGTACAAACAAAAACAAAGCTCCTCCGATGACCGGGATAATGGGGGTCAACTCCTTTGCCAGGTATTGGCAGCTGAGGAAAACAAAAAACAGATCATGAAGAAAGAGAAACAGCAAAACGCTCACAGGAATTTAAAACTAAAGAAAAAACCTCCAGTCCTGCTAAAGATTAGGAGCTTACCGTTTCTGAACATTTAGCTCTTTTTCCGCCCTATCTCAACATGACCCCAGAACAAAAGGGCAAAACTAGGAGACGACTAAAAAAAAGATGATCCATACAAGGCAGTCACTTCGAAGCATCGCCTTATTTGTTTGTTTCACATAATTTGATAAAATATCCAACAGATACATTTCTGAGAAAAAAAGTTAACATCTCTTAAACCTTCAAGCATTTCACCATGTCACAATCCAATCCCATTTCTAGGACTGCATGTAGGGATGTCCCATATCAGCCTGCACCTAAAGTGTACGATATTGGCATGCTGATAAAAACATAATGCCCCTGTCTAAAGTTTATGGTTAATAATAAATTAGTCAGTTTTTTTAAATACCAATTGTTTTTGGCTACTGTTCTCTGAGTTACATCATTTGGTCAAAACCTTCTAATATTGGACACTATGATTTGTGCTGATATGATATCGGGTCAGTAGTGCATCAGTCAGTTCTTAAATTAGCAATAGCTGGAAATGAAAAAATTCAATAGCGACATGGATACTTTGTTACATGGGGCTGCCACATAAGGACAACACACATTTAAAAATGTATTGTTTTTCTACTTTCACAATCATGTACTTTTCATTTTGGTCTGTAACATTAAATCCTAACAAAATAAGTAGAACTTTGGGGTTTCTTCATGACAATTGAAAAAATGAAAGAGCTTTTATTTCCATAAGACACATAAAGCCATATTAAGGGGTCCCCAAAGATGTCTGCTTGTGACCAAAAACATAAAAATGCAATATACTGGTGACCCCCTATAAAAAAAGATTTCATTGTAAATTTCATTTACTTATTCAATTCAGCATCTTAAGTATATTTTTAACTATGTATTAGTGCATTTAACAATTTTATAGTATTTTCAAAATTTTAACCATATATGAAATAATGATCCATCCATCTTCTTCCGCTTTATCCCTCCTCACAATGGGACATGCCTGGAACACCTCCTGAGGGAGGCGTTCAAAACAGATGCCCGAGCCACCTCAGCTGGCTCCTTTCAATGTGGAGGAGCAACGCCTCTACTCCGAGCTCCTTCTGGGTAACTGAGCTCCTCACCCGATCTCGAAGGCTGCGCCCAGCCACCCAGCAAAGGAAACTCATTTCGGCCGCTTGTATTCGCGATCTTATCATTAAACAGATCTCATGACCATAGGTGAGCGTGGGAACGTAGATCGATCGGTACATCGAGAGCTTTGTCCCCACTTCCCCAATGTCACACTGATTAAATAACTAACTAGATATCATTAAGTCTACTTATTTCATTGGCTTTTTTTTTATTTCATTAAATATTGTGGTCCTCCATATAATACGGAGATAAAACACACAAAGACCCACGGAGCGTCTAAGTAACTGATTGATGAAGATAGTACCCAAAATTCCTGCATCCAAGTTAATACTTACCTTAATGTTATTAACCCAGCATCAAATATAATCCTAACATCTGCACTAATATTTTCTGAGCTGTTAAACCCCATCTGAGTGGAAATATAAACAAACAGGTCTGGGACATCAGCAGGGGACTGTAGCAGGACAACACAGTGTAGCAAAACCTTTTTTTATTACTTTATTTCTATGTTATAGAGTGACTTTTCTCAAATAGCCTCCGTCTCTTACAGCTTTCCAATCCAGACTTCTGATGGCAAGTAGCAGGACATTCCAATCAAGATTTTAAGACCAGACAATATTTAGGGTTTTAAAGTGATATGAAGCCGCTAATGATGGATGAATTTCATTACAATTGTGAGAAAGAAGAGGCTAAACAAATATTTTTCTAGATTTTAAGAGGGTAAGCATCTAAAGCGGTGACAAAACAGACTTTGGCTATTTGCTTTTAAAGAGGAGGCAGGGAGGGTAAAAAAAAAAGGCTTGTAAAATGTTAACCTCTGTCTTTAAAAAACATAAATCAATAAAACGTTCTGTTCTTTTCACTGAGTCAAAGTCAAAGTTAAAGCAGAGATACCGTCTGAGCTAATCTGTTAGTTATTATGAGTAAAAACAGCAGCTGATCCACTGATCCTAGGTCTGTTTTAGAATAATCAGCCCAGTCAATGACAGAAGAAAAGCTAAACATTGTGGTATAGAGTGGCACAAGATAGAATCTAAAGCCAATGTGGATGGGAGGTCAATAATATAAAAGATATTATAGAAATTGCAGCTATTTCTCTAACCAGCTCATTCCTGCTGGTTTCACTGTGGGTTTAACTCTTGGTTCAACTTCCATCACAGAACAGTGATGGGTTGGTTATATTCTCTGCAGCAGTGTGTCGCAGTGAGCTGGTTGCAGATATCTTTGATTATGGTCTGTGCAATGTTATTCCATGCTACAACGCTAGAGGTACAATCATGAACTAGCTGTGGGACTAGATATGGCAGAGGTGGTGAGGAAGCGAGGCAAGTTTGTGCAACAAAAGAGGAAACATGAGGGACAAAAAGAGCGGGGATCCAGGTGGAAAAACGGTCCAAGCGTTCTCACACACCTCGCTCTTCTAGCTGGTCCATCTTTACGAGTTGTTTTCCACAATGGCGGTCATACAAACAAAACAAGCCGGTAAGGTATCAAACAGGAAATATGCATAGTGTAGAGCGGATGTAGATTTGACCAATCAGAGGCCTCCTGTGTGCGGCACTGTCTGTGGTTACCTATAATTTTGGAGAGGTGCAGCACAGGGTCTGCGGAGGGGGCGTAGGTGCATTTGCATTCACAGTTACACAAACGCAGATCACCTGGTTTCTGGCTTCCTTTAACAGTAAAGCTGTTAGTATAGCATACAGCAAACCATACAGAAGTAGCCATTTAAAATGTCCCCACTTTCCTTGATAGGTCCTTGGCTGGTCTCCTACAATTCCCTTTTAAATATCAATATTTGCACTAAAATATTTTTCTATCATGATTTGTGGACATTAAGATCTAAAGAAATGCATCATCTCCTTGTCAGAACCTGTAATTTAATGAAAGGGTGGAGTCAGAGTAAAAAAATATGCAGGAGGGGGTCACTCCAATAGCTGGAAGTTGGAGGGCCAATTCTAATGGCTACTACTGCAGGATGGACAATTTATTTAAAGTTGATACTTTTGGGTCTGCTTTAATAGTCCTGCACAACATTTCAGTACTTGTTGAGCTGCACATTTAATCAAACACATCATGTTTGTTTGTTAGAGAAGTCCTTCTAATGAGGATTCACAAATCACAGAAAATTTTGTAAAGTTAACTCAATGGTGGATAAACAAAAGAAAATAAAGTTAGATGTTCCCTTTCCTTGACAGTGAAGCTAGAAACAAGAACCAGTGATGTGTGGTGTTTAGGGTCTAACTCAGCTCCATGTCTAGGGTTAAACAAGGTCCCAAACATAACCAATCTCTTCACTGTGTGGCTCCACTTAGAACTTTCTCGGTTTTTCAGAGCTAATACATCAAAGGTAATTGAGTTAAAGCAGCTTAATAAGCTAATATACATAAACAAAGGCAATTTCTTCATGTAGCCCTCAAAGTCTATGAAGAATAAAAGCCCAACTGCTTTACCCATGTCAAATATTTACAGTAATCTTCCTCATGTTTTAAACAGTAATTGCTCTTAGTGGGATAATCTGTAAAGTGAAGCGTCTCAGACAAAAACAGGTCCTTTAAAGTAATTCTGGAAACACGCATAATTGCTTTCAGGGTGCTGTTGCTGGGTACTCTGTTAATATACAGTATATATATCCCTTTGAGCGAGAAAGGGCAATCTCTGGTTTGAGACGATTAATGTGAAGAGCAAGATTTACTTGTGAATTGAGATGGCAGGATGTAGTGTTCACCCACATGTCAGCACAGATAATGAGAAAAGAGACTCCAATAAATAAATGCATTAAATTATAAATTACTTAAATAACTAAGTTGAACCTTTCACTTTCTCAGCACATGTAATGTGATAGGTGACGAGTGAACAAGACTACAAATCTTACCCTTTAATTAGAACTTTGCCTTTTATATTTATTTAGCTGGACAACTCAATGTAGAGTGGTGAATCTTGCAACTAGTTACTACAAGTAACTAGTTCTGTGAAACTGGTTAAATGCAGGAGCACCAGTTGCAAACAACATTGCAGCTTTGAGGTATTTCAGCTTTAAGTCCCTTTTTGTCCCCCCTCTTTCAAAAAAAAAATAAAAACTCTACCATTAGTATTAAATATTATCTTGCTTTTCATTGTCTGACAAGAACAGTTAAAATATTGTGTTAATAAACTTTGAAAAATGTTTCTATGGTTAGAAACTTGCCTGTTGGAGTAATAAAAGTTGGGCGATCAGGTTTCTGGATGGTTAGAGCGTTTCTGGGAGAACAACTCTTCAAATATTTCCTTCTCTAATCATTAACATTAAGAGCTCATTAGATGATGTCAGAGATTTAACTTATCACCCAATATTCAGCGTATCGCACTGTTACTATAAGTTTACAGTTTTTTAAATCATATCTAGAGAATTTGTGATACTTAAACACCCTATTTTATGCCACAATGTAAAGCTTCCTAAAAATTAGCGTACGTTTGTGATTTTTAGCACAAAACCCAGACAGAATTTGGTATTCCTACCATCTAACCTTCAGAAAACAATTCTACAGTGAGTGCTGCGCATTCAGTTCAAAGAATGGGCGAGAGGACACAGATAAAAACTATACTTCAAAACTCACCTGCAGGGAAACTGGTTAGAATTTAAGTGCCACAAGCATATTTTCTTCACATGCAATGTCTCAATGAGCCAGACAGCTCTAATGTGATGTACATTTTATCCACACTGGCAGTAGCGAAATTTCAGACTGACTGAACACTAAAACCCCTAGAAAATAGGGGTATATCCATAAACCTGTAGCCTCCTACGAATT